TCTAGTTGTGGAGGATGTTGCTTCACTGGCCCAAGTTGGCACCATCATTGCGCTCTTCTCTGTACATGCCTGTGCTTTTTACGGGGAAATTCTAAGGCCTTGAGCAGCCTATGAATGATTCTTTCTGGCCGGTGGTGGTTCTAACAACGACTTTCTTGAGGAACTGCAGTTTGAGCATTAAGCCTTAGTTGCTTTCTAACTTCCCAGCATCCTCTCCTGTGCTGGGCTCGCTCTAGGTGCCTAACCACTGGCAGGCAGCTCCTCCGTCAAGCTATAAAACTGCATGCCTCTGGGCCTTTGCTCTGTTTTTTCATTCATCTAGAATTTGCTTTCCTCTTCCTCCCTGCTTTTTAATTTTTTCCTAGCCTTTTTATCATGTCAGACTCAATTTAGGAGTCATCTTCTTTAAGAACCCTTTTTGGAACCTCTGTGGTGAGCTAAGGTCTTCTCCACTGTGCCTTGTAAGCCCCCTCTATGGTAACAACCACATTATATTCAAATGGAGTTCACACAGTAGGTTCATTATCTGCTTGTAAAATATTCCAGGTTATGCACACCCTTGCTTATTTTGGGTGGGACCAAGGCACAAAGTAAAAAAAAAAATTGTGTTTGATAAAATACACATAAAATTTACCATCTTAACCATTCTTAACTATACAGTTTAGTGGTATTAAATACATTCATAATGTTATGCAACCATCACTACCATCCATCCCATAACTCTTTTCATCTTGTAGAACTAAAACTCTATTCCCATTAAACAATAACTCCCCATTCCTCTTCACCCCAGCCCCTGGCAACCACCATTCTACTTTTTGTCTCTATGAGTTTGACTATTTTAAGTACCTTATGTAAATAGACTTATACAGTATTTGTTCTTTTTGTGACTGGCTTATTTGACTTAGCATCGTGTCCATGTTGTAGTATATTATAAAATTTCCTTCATTTTAAGGCTGAATAATATTCCATGTAACTATATTTTCCCTATCCATTCATCCATTGATGGAAATTTGGGTTGCTTCCACATTTTAGCTATTGTGAATAATGCTGCTTTGAATATGGACATACCAATATCTCTAATATTCTGCTTTCAGTTGTTTTGGGTATATACCTAGAAATGGAATTGCTGGATCATATGATAATTCTGTTTTCAGGTTTTGTTTTGTTTTGTTTTGTTTTTAAAGATTTTATTGGGGAATTGGGGAAGGGGAACAATGTTGGGGAATTAGGGAAGGGGAACAGCCAAGTTGTTGTCCTTCAATCTTAGTTGTGGAGGGCGCAGCTAGCTCAGCTCCAAGTCCAGCCGTCATCCAGCCTCCTATCGGCAGCTCTTAGCCACTCAGCTCAAGGCACCGAGTTCAATCTTAGTTTTGTGTGGGCGTAGCCCACCATCCCATACAGGAGTCGAACCAGAAAACTTGTTTTTTGGGAGCATGTGCTCTAACCACTGAGCCATCCTGCCACCTGTTGGTAGCTCAGCGGCAGCTCAGCTCGGGTGCAGCTCACTGGCTCGTGTGGGAATCGAACCAGCGACCCTGTTGCTCAGAGTTTGCGCTCTTAACCAACTGATCACTTGGCCTGTCCTTGTTTTCAGTTTTTAGAGGAACTACCATACTGTTTTCCACAGTGGCTGAACCATTTTACACTCCCACCAATAGTGCACAAGGTTCCAATTCCAAGGAGCTAGCTTATGTGGTTTTTAAAATGTCCATTTAAATCTGAGATTAGATACCCAAAAGGTCAAATTCGTTACAATGGGAAAGTATATTATAGTGACCACTTGTTTGGTGCTTACCCTGTGCCTATTCAACATTTTACATTAGCTCTAATCTTTATATAATTCTAGTTCTTACAGTATACTTTTGAGATAGGTATTACTACCTCCATTTTAAATGAGGCTCACGATTCAATGAGTCATCCAAGGTCATACATCTAAGAAAGTGGCCCAACCAAAGCACACCCAGGTATGACTCCAAGCCAGAACCCTATTATTCTACAATATCAAGGGGGGCTATTGGGAGTGACTAATCCCACAGAATCTAGGATACTGTGGGTTTTGAGTGATTTTCATTTCCTGGTAAATTACCCCTGGCAAGGAAGACAAAGGGGAAGTATGAATGGAAGAACTTTTCAGTTAGTCTGTCAGCTGAGCAACTGCATTTGCCCTTACCCAGATTTTCAGATTTTCATGGGTTTTGTTAAGGATTGAAATAGAAAATGTGTGGTCTCCAAGAGGCCAAAATAGGAGGCTGAGAAGCTGGGAGTGGGGCGCGTGGGATACGGCTTCCTTGTGGTCTTTCAGCTTCATTCTTCATTGACTTAGGGTGTTTTCGTCTACCCCTACAAAAGGGGCGGGAAACTGTATGTGTGAGTGCGGCAGGGAAGGATGGGTGGAGGAAGATTCTCCAGCCAAGCGCAAGACAAGCAACTCTGCCGCCTGGCGCAGTTGCCAGGACACCGCGGTCGAAGCACCAACGGCAGAAGCCGCACCGCGTCCCAGCGGCGGCGGCGGCTGCTGCGAGCCCGAGTGACGCATTGCAGGTACGAACCAGCCAATCAGAGGTCTGCTCAATAACTATAGGCACGCGTCGCTACGACATGCTCCTCCGCGCCGCAAAGTAGTGCCCCTCAGGCGCGACTCCACCGGCCTTTTTAACGGCTAGCTGGGGAGTGAAACCCACTTACGTCATCCATTCGCCCACTTCTCCTTATCTCTTGCATCGTCGACCAAACAACTGTGGATAAAGGGGTCTCGAGAAGAGTTTGAGGGGAGGGGATGGCCGGGACTCGTTTGTGATGTTCCGTTATTTGGCATGCGGCGGAGGGATCTAGCGGAGGGAGGTGTTTATGAGGCGCTGGGGGCGGAGGGGGAGAATTAGTCCGAGTGGAGCGAGAGAGCTGAGTGGTTGTGTGGTCACGTCTCGGAGACCGGTAGCGCTTGCAGCATGGTGAGTTCGTCGCTACGCTGCCGGCGCTGGGCCTTTGGGGGAAAGAGGCTGAAGCTAAATGACTAAAGGAAGGGAACTCACCCTCCCTTAAACCTTTCAGGAGTGGTTTTCGCCAGAGGGATGGCGCGAAAGAGGCTGGGGGCGTCCGCGGCGGTTGTGTCGCAGGTGCTCCCCCACCCCCATTCTCTTCAGGATGGTGTCCCCTAGGGTTTTGGGGGCCAGGCGCACTGCCCCCGACGCCGCAAGCTCTCCAGGGGCTTGGCTGGATCAGGATGAATCCGGGGTCGGGGGGCAGCCCAGCACATGGGGGAGGCGAGCGAGTGGAAGGGCAGGGGGTGGGGGAGCGGTAACGCCAAAGCGTTTTGTCGGGCGGCATCTCCAAAGGTCTGATTGGGGGCCGGATTCAAAAGCCCAACGGGCGGTTAAGGGGGGCGCCAGGAAGCGCCTTTGTCCGCTTGCGGCCGGCGTGCGCGGAGGGGGCGGGAGGGAGCGCGCGAGGCCCGGGTAAGAGCCGGCGCCGCCGTTAGCCTG